CTCACCAAGGTATATCTGTATATGTATACGCATCCGTTAAGCGGATACAAGTATGATAAATATCATATCTGAGTCGTAACCTTATCTATCTCCATTAAGTAGATATAAATATAATAAGTATCATGTCCGAGCCATACCCGAACCAGCATCCCTATTAACAAGTCATTTTTTGATTTCTAACGTAAGAAATAGAACCAAAAGAAATTATATTGCGCCCCCCACCTTCTTTTCTTGTTTTAATTACTTTTTGCCCATTCTTCATTCTCTTTCTTAAATCAGAAATTCCTCTCGATTTGCAATCCATAAACTTTAAAGTTACAACAACTAAAAATAAACTTTTTTACGTCTCAGTAAGTATCATTCACAAGTGGGTTTGCACAAAAATCATCATAAATTATTTTTTATTAGAGAAGATATTAAGAAATTTCAAACTTGCAAGTAACATGCAAAGATTAAAAATTATTCTAACCATGATAGTTATCTCGTCCAAAAACTTCATTTTGTGTTTGATTAGGACTGGAGTAGGGGTAGGCATGGGTCAGGCGGGCCAGGCCGATTCAGGCCCATGACCTGACTTGTCGAGTTCAAGGCTAGGTCGGATCTGCTCGGGCCCACTTGGGTCAGAGTGGCCGGACTTATTTCTCTGATCTCGGGTCTGGGATTGGAGTCGGCCCGACCCACGAATCATGGGTCGGCCCATGTGTTTTTTTAACTTTTTCCTATTTTTTATTTCTAATTTCTAAACTATATTAACTTTATATTCGTATTTATTAAATTATATTTAAACTATTGTTTTTCCTATTACATCTTTATTTAAAATGATGTATGTATACACACACATACAGAGATAAACATCACACAGAAAACGTCACAAACATAAAGATATATGTAGTTCGGACTTTTAAAAGGGGACCTACATCCTCACAAAGTTAACAACTTATCTTTAGTTTAAATTTAAATTATAAATAAAAGAGGGAAAAAGAAAAAATGTTAACCATTAATGTTCAAAGAGCCGGATTCATCTAAGTTATATTCATCAAAATTTTCAAGGAAAGATCTTGCTTATTATCATTGTGACCGTTCTTCTGCATCGAACCAGGTCAATGGTGGACTGGGCCAGGTCAATGGTGGGTCGAACCTATTTCTCTGGTCCTGGGTCTAAGGTTAGACCCAGATCAGATTCATATATATCACAGGTCAGGTCGAGCTCGACCCAATTTTGACCGAGTCGAATCGTGATCTATGACGGGGTAGGCTAGGCTACCTTGCTGGCCAACCCGACCCACACCCAATCCTAACTTGGAGGAGTTGACAATAAAATGAATGCACTACATCACATCACTTCATCTCTTGTTAATACATGCAATAAATGAATGTACTACATCACATCGTTTTCAACTGTTGTTCATACGCTCTTCGTATTGAGTTGAAGCAGAATCTAGGGTTAATTACGACCAAACCCCTATAATATATCCCAATTATAAGTAGACCTCCTATAATTCTATTTTTGCAAACAAACCCCTTAGGTAATTTTTTAACTCATAAAATCATTAAAAAGATTGGAGGAGATCGTTCATTCTATTGGTGAGAACATATCCTAAATTGCTAAATCTTGCTTGGATTTTAAAAGAGTAAAAAAATGTTCACTAAAAGAGCTGTTAGCAAC